CCTATATCCTTTTACGTTATTTGTTATTTCTCTCTCCCTCTATCTATATACCTATAAAATATACATAATGTATATTTTCTGAATAATATGCATCATGATATACATGTACATCAACATATATGTATATGTATAAAATATATCTGTATACATATTTTTCTGAATCATTTGACAGAAAGTTCATTAAAGTGATAAAGTATATCTAGGAAAAAAACTACACTAAGATAACATTTAATGGTTAAATATTAAATGCTTTTCTTGGACAAGATTGCTGACTATCACCATTTTTATTCATAATGTCTTGGAGGTCTTAGTGCAATTAGCCAATAGAAGGAAATAAATGGTATTAAGATTGGAAAAGAGTAAGTGTCGTTATTTGAAGATGATATGACTGCATACATAGAAAATCCAAATAAATCTACAATTAGTCATAATAAATGAAGTTATCAATTTCACTGAACACAACATTAATACATAAAAATAAAAATCAGATAATAACAACCATTGGTGAGGATGTGGAGAAATTGGAGCCCCCATAAGCTGCTAGTAAAATGGTGCAGCCACTGTGGAAAACAGTTTGGTAGTTCCTCAAAATGTTAAACATAGAGTTGCCATAAGTACCATATGACCCACCCAGCAATTCTAATTGAATTGAAAATATACATTCTTACAAAAATTTGTACATGAATGTTCATAGCAGCATTATTCATAATAGCCAGAAAGTGGAAGCCAAAAGTCTATAAACTGATGAATAGATAAACAAAATGATTCTATTTATATGAAATTTCCAGAATAGGCAAATATATGGAGGCAGAAAGTCATTTAGTGGTTGCCTGGGTCTTGGGGGATGGGAAAATGGGGAGATGTAGGGTATCTTCTTGGGGTGATGGAAATGTTCTTAAATTAGATAATGATAATAATGGTTGCACAACTCTGTGAATATACTAAAAACCACTAATTTATACACTTTATAAAGGTGAACATTATGGTATGTGAATCTTATCTCAATAAAGCTATCATAAAAATTTAATTGAATTGCTATTCACTAACAACCAAATAGTGGAAATAAAATTTAACAAAACAATACCATTTATGATAATGTTATAAATAACCAAATACCTAGAAGTAAATCTATATAGTAGTTGCAATATTTCAACACTGGAGAGTACAAAATATTACTAGAATAAAT